TGGGCCCCAGGCAGCCTGTGATCTGTGCCGCACTGTCATGGGGTCTTGCCTCAAGCCCTGTTGTTCAGGCCCACTGGAGACCCAAGGCAATTTCCATAAGAGCCAGGGTGTGAACCCAGGTGTCCTGAGGCCATTCTGCCAGGCTCTCCTAGTACCCTGAGTGCAGGCAGACGCATGCAGGATTCTGCATTTCCCATTCCAAACTGCCAGGCAGTGTCGCTGTGCAGTGGAACCGCTGCCACTTCCTGCCCCAGAGGGGGCTGCATTGCCATGACCGGTTTCTCTGTTGGTATCTCAATGGGGCAGGGCCTGATGGTGAAGCAGGAGAGACTGGAAGTCAGGGCTCCTGGGTTCTATTCCTGGCTCTGGCACAGAGTGTGCCTCAAGGCATGGCTCTTCCTCGCTCCGTGACTCAGTTTCCCCATCTGATTATGCCTGACATCCTGGCGGTGGGGATCCTAGTTGCCACGGTGCTCTGGAGCCCGAGGGTGGGAAGGCGCTAGAGGAGGCGAGGGGTGAACAGGCAGCCAGCAGGGCTGGAGGATCAGAGCACCACTGAGCGGTGGGGGAGAGGGAACTTGCTGGGAGTCCTATGAATGGAGAGAGGGGCTGCTTCAACCAGTACGAACGGCAGAGCAGGAGGCTCCTGCCCCCAGCATGGGGAGCTCTCCTGCCCCATGCTTGATTGTGAGAGAAACCTGCTGTGGCCGGGTGGGGTGTGTGTTCCCCCCCCTGTGGGGTGGGCACAGTCTGACTGCAGGCCTGGGGCTGGCCTCTCCAGTCTCTGTGCTCTGTGCTGGTGAGGAGTGAGCCTGGCCTGGTGCAGGGGCTCTGGGGGCTGCCTGGCAGCCTCGTCTGCCCAGTCCCGGTGGGGGAAGGGCAGGTGGACCCAGGGTTGTCCCTGGTCACTCCAGGGTTTGTGGGGCCAGCTGGGGGGATGGAGAGCAGCACTCCGGTCCAGGGTGGTCTCTGCCCCTTCACACAGCTGCCCCCTGGGGGATGCAAGAGCTGCCCTCACTGGCTCTTCAGTGCATCCAGAGCCCCACTGGGAAGATGGCTTCTCTCTTGCCTGTGCCCAGCAGCATTCAGGCTGGGGTAGGGCCTGGCTGATCCTCTCCTTTTGGCTCCCTAGCTGGCCGACATTGCCATCGACAGCCTGTGCCGAGGGGTGTTTGCTGGAGACTGCCGGGCCCTGAGCGTGCGCTCCTGCTTCCCTGCGCTGTTCGAGGCCGAGCGGAGGTGGCGCTCAGTCATCCTGGGGATGGCCCTGGGCGGAGGTGAGAGTCGGCCGCGCAGCCATCCGCAAAGGGGCTCTGGAGCCGCTGGGCCAGGGATAGGCTGCGCCTGTGCTCTAGAAGAGCGTGATGCAGAAAGGCTTTCCACAGGGACAGGAGCACGCGCCTGAGTCAGGACCCTGTGCCATCACTGGCTGGCTGTGCAGCCTCCTCCCTTGGCTCCCAGGGCCAGCTCTGATCTCTGGGGCCCCTTCCCATTGGTTGGCAGCCCAGTGGGTCAGGGCAGTGGGGTAGAGCTGGGAAGATTGGCAGGTTCCTGGGGGATATGCCGTGTGGACGAGTTTCTAGCCTGCTCTCTGCTCCTAGGGAAGGACCCCGCCCTGGACTCGGCGCTGAGCCGCAGGGCCCGTGACGAGCGCTGGAGCCAGTGGTCGCTGCGTGCTGGCATGGAGACACTGTCCGAGGCCCTGCAGGACTTCCTGAGACGGCGTGGGGTGGAAATGCACTGCCATGCTCGGCTGCAGTGCCTGGAGAGAACGGCGGCTGAGTGCTGGCAGGTGGGAGGCAGCAGGGTGCATCCTTTTGCATCCCTTCGGAGACCCCAGGGCTCTGCTGGGACACGGAGGGGAGGGGAGCTGGGCTCCAAAGGGTTGAACTGAAACTGAGCCTCCACTTCTTGCTGTATTTTCTGGTCAAACACTTCACCATTGCCCCATTCAGGTGTCAACATAAGTGGTCAGAGCAGGGGGGCTGGGAGCCAGGACTCCTGGGTTCTATCCCAGCTTGGCCACTTGTCTTCCTGCTTGGGTGAATCACCTCTCTGCTCTGTGGGGCAGGGGTGTAGGCCCAGGCTTGCCAGCAGGTGGGCCGAGGTCTCTGCTCTGACTGTGCCTTTCCCATCTAGATCACCCTGGAGGATGGCAGCGTGAGAGCAGACCATGTGATCAGTGCCATCCCAGCCAGAGGTAGGGGTGGTGCTGTGCTGAGGGGAGCCCCTCTGCTCTGATGGGGATCTGTGCCCAGTGTGGTCCCATGTGGCTGTGGAGCCATCTAGGCACTAGAACAGTGGGGGTTGGGACCCCGCGTGGGTCTGAGCCCGTTTGGTGGCTGGGCGTGGGAGCCCTCCCCTCTGTGCAGGAGTGTGGGCTAGTGATGAGAGTGGCGGACTACTGGGTTTTCTCCCTGGCTGTGGTTTGGAGCAGGCGTTCCGGCTCTGTGCAGGGGGGAGAGGGGTGTGGAGCCCCCAGCTGCACTGTGCTGAGGCATCTCTGTTTCCAGCTCTGGCGGTGCTGCTTCCTGGCTGGGCTGAGCCGCTGGCCCAGGAGCTGCGCAGCATTGAGGCCGTGTCGGTGGGTGTGGTGAACCTGCAGTACAACGGTGCCACGCTGCCCATCACGGTGAGACTGGGGCGCCCCCACCTGCCACCATAAACCACTGCAGCCTCCAGCATTGGCCCAGCATGCCCCCATCCCGTCCCTGAGCACCCAGCATTACAGGGGGCTGAGTGGGAAGGGAGAACTCCCCACGACTACAGCCCTAGCCTCGTATCATGGGGGCCCTACCCCATCCTGGGAGCAGCGGGTGGCTGTGGGGTGGGGGTTGGGGGGGGGAGCTGCCAGCAAGTCCCATGCAGAGCTGGCTCCCAGAGCTGGGGGTGGGGGCAGGGTGTCCACCCGTCTGCCCATCCAGCTGCCGTCTTCCAGGGGGAAGTGGGGCAGACCCTGGGGATTAACAGGTGTTTCCTTGTCTCTGTCCCAGGGGTTCGGGCACCTGGTGCCCTCGTTCGAAGACAGCTCCCTGCTGGGCATTGTCTACGACTCAGTCGCCTTCCCGGAGCAGAATGGCACCTGTGGCCCTTCCGTCCGGCTCACGGTGAGCACACCACCCTGCTCCCACCAGGGAGGCGTGCTGGTGGCAGAGGGGGCTGGGTGTGGATGTGCACAGGTCCAGCCATGGGCCCTGGCAGCCTGACCCCTGGTCACAGGGTGCACAGGCGCTGATTTTCTCCACTTTGAAACCAGTTTAGGGTAGGGAGGGGGGAGACCCTAGTTTTCTGGAGCAGTTACCCCTCCCCACCCCAGTTCAGGAGTCCTGTTGGCCCGCAGCCAAGATCCTGCTCCCCTCCTGAGTGGTTGTTTTGCTGCCTGCAGGTGATGCTGGGAGGTGCGTGGTTCGAACAGGGCTTTGGGGACCCAGACACTGTGCCACTGGCTGTGCTGCTGAGCCGTGCCAAGGAGGCAGTGAGGGCACACCTGGGCATTGTGGCCGAGCCCTCTCGCACAATCGTCAAGGTGCTCAAGGTAGGTGGGGTGGGGGTGGACAGCACTGGGAACCATACAGGCCAAACCAGCCCTCACCCTGTCTCTGGTCCTTCCACAGGCCTGCATCCCCCAGTACACGCTCGGCCACTGGCAGAGGACAGGTAAGGCTGGCAGAGCCCTTGGTGCCCTCTCACATCTATGACATCAGGCTGCCCCTCGCTTGTTCTCCCCTCTGCAGTATCATAGAATCATAAAATATCAGGGTTGGAAGGGACCTCAGGAGGTCATCTAGTCCAGCCCCCTGCTCAAAGCAGGACCAATCCCCAGACAGATTTTTGCCCCAGATCCCTAAATGGCCCCCTCAATGATTGAACTTACAACCCTGGGTTTAGCAGGCCAATGCTCAAACCACTGAGCTATCCCCCCAAAGTCAAGCCTGGGGGTGGGGTCCTGAGCTGGGCAATAGGGCAAAGGTGGGATTTATCAGCACAGCCAGGGGAGCACAGCTCCAGCCCATGTGCTGGGGGTGGTAGAGACCCCTCTAGCCTTATTCCCTCTGTCCCCCTGACAGAGACCATCAACCGTTACCTGGAGCAGGAAGGATTGCCACTGAGCCTGATCGGGGCCTCCTACCAGGGTGTCTCTGTGAATGACTGTATCTACAGTGCCAAGACGGCAGTCACCCGGCTCCTGGACCAGGCCTGCTGATCTGCCACCGGGCGCCCGCCTCTTGAACTAACTCTGCTTCGAGCAGAGAACAGTGGAGCCCCCGGTCAGGCAACGGGCTCTCACACTGTGAGGAGAGGCTGCCTCCTCTGAGGGCACTGGGAGCTGGATTCCTGCCGGAGGTGGGGGGGGCTGGGGTGTCCTGCTGGGGGATCTCTTGCGATAAAGAGACATCCCCAGAAGCAGTGAGAGAAGGTGAGTGTGGAGGCTGGGGTGCCGACTCGCAGCAGCTGTAGGCTGCAGCCTGGGTTCTTCCCAGCAGTGCTCAGGTACCAGCCCAAGGGAGGGGCTGGGCTGGCTTGTCTCACTCAGGCCCCTCCCACCGTCCCTTGGCCGAGCCCCTCCCTGGCTGGTGTGGTTTTGCTGCCTTTGTGGAGCTCACTGTGTGTGTGGGGGGGGGGATTGGCTGTGACCCCTGCAGCTCCCTGGACAACCTCAGGCTCTGTCATTGACTAATAAACTCCCCAAGGCTGGGTTAGCGTGGCTCTGTGCTGACCGATTGGCCCTTCACTACAGCTTGCTGGGATGGGGGCGGGCAGGCCAGTGCCAAGGAGCACAGCACCTGGCACTGAGCTGGTGCTGCAGCAGTGGGTGGACACCGCTAGGTACAGAACAGCTCCGGAGCAGCAGCAGCACCCTGGGAGGCAGCCAGTTTCTAGAGGCTCTGTCTAGGCCAAGGGAGCTGAGTGGAGGAAGTCCAGCCCCGGGCCAGGCTCCCTGGGCTGTGATATCCCCTCCCCCGGAGGTTGGGGTGATGCAAAGGGATGAGCTCTGGGGCCACTGTGGAACCAAATATTTTATTCAGCTCCTGTGTGGTACAGCAGCCGCCAGGCACGGCAAGCACGTTCCTAAATAAATAACCACAGCAAATTGTCAACAGCTAGAGGAGGATCAACCCCGGGGTTCCCCCAAACCACTGTGGGGGCTAGACACAGCCCCCTAGGTCACAAACTGTTCTGGGGCGAGGGGATGGGAGCAGCCTGGCTCACTCTCAGCACCCATCCCTTAAAGTGAATTCAGTGCTGGGGAAGCTGCTGCCTGCAGGCCTTTCAGCAGCAGCAGCTGGCACCCTGGCTGGGCCTGGAGGTGCCCTGGGCTTATGGGCCCTTGGGCAGCTGCCAGTGGGGCTAGGGCTGGCCAGGCACCAGGGCCACTCGTGCCCAGAGCATGGGGGAGGGGAAAGGCTCCAGCTGGAATCCCAGTGAGGGGCTCCTCTCCCTGCTGCTCCAGGCAGCAGGACCAGCCCAGGCCATTTGCCCAGCTGTTCCCCTGGAGGCTCCTGGCCAGCAGGGGGAGGGGAGGCTGGGCACCCAGCATTTGCCTCTCGCTTTAAGGGGGCAGGGAGGTGAGGCTGGGATTCTGCCCTGCCCCAGCAGGCTGTGCGCGCCAAGGGCACACCTAGGTACAATGGAGGCTGCTGGTGCTGAATGCTCGGGCAGCTGCACCAGGGACTGGGGGAAGGACATGGCCAAAAGCCCAGGCTAGCGGCTCCCCAGCTCAAGAGCAGCCAGGGGAGTCAGGCACAAGGTGAGTACTAGCCCCCAGGAAAGGAGGGAGCCAAGTCCCCTTGTCCCACTCCCCCCCTGGGAGAGCAGCTCCCTGCCACAGTGCTGCCCACTTCCAGCAGTGTTTCCCCTCAGGGCACAGGGCCCCCTCCCACCTGCAGAGGATTAACAGCAGCAGACCAGTGTAGTATGTAAATCCAGCACCAAAGGGATACCAGCTCCAGCGTGAAGGGTCAGAGTTGAGCCCAGCCTCCCCCCACCCAAATCCCAGTGCCCCACTCAGCAGCCTGGCCAGGGCACACTGCAACACCCAGGGGTGGCAGCAGCCAATTCCAGGACAAAGGGCTGCCAGCAGCTGCACACAATGCAGTGGGTGCTATGAGCAGCCTGGGGCCCCACTGCAGTTCACGATTGGCCCAGGCAGACTAGTCAGGTGGGGGCTTTCTCCAGTACAACACAGGAAGTCCTAGGCCCCCCTCCCTGCCAGCATGGGTCAGGCTGGGGGAGGGAAGGGGGTGCTAGATTGGGGGGAAACATGAGCTTGCCCCACCTACAGCACAGGGATTTTGGCTCAGCTTGTCCTCAGGAGCCCAGCAGGATGGGAGGGGTTGAGGCTCAAGGACTCTCAGCTCCCCTGAGGTCACAGCCCTAAGGGGGGGAAGGGGTCTTGGGCAGGGCACCTGGGCTCAGGAAGAGCCTACTACAGCTAATACTTGGCTTGAACACCCAACAGCACCAGGCTTCTAGGGGGCACTACTGCTCAGCTCTGCCCCAGCTCGTGCCCATGGCACCAGAGCACCTACTTCTCCCCTGCAGCATGCCAGGACTGACTGCAGCTGTTGCCCCTGCAGGACCCAGCCAGGGACCTACTGTAACCACACCCATGGGTTAGGGCCCCATCATGAAGATGCAGCAGATACCAGCACAACCAGTCTCATTCCTGGGGGCTTAGCCTCCTTGCTGGAAACTACGCCCTGCCTCCTGTGCTACTAGGCTCTGCCCTGATCTACTGCCTCAGCAGGATGGTTTCCTGGGCCAACACAGCCAGCAATGGGCCAACCTTCTCTGCTTTACAGCCCAGCTTGGGGGACTCTAAGCCACAGCCTGTGCTGAGGCTGCAGACAAAGGTGCCAACGGTGGGGGCAAGCTGGCTGATGGGTCCTGTCCCACTGTGAACAGGCCCAAGACCTATCAGCTCATACAGGGTCCACCCTGTAGACTTGTCCACGCCTGGCCTGGGCAGGAGCCCCTGGGTGCCAGGCCTCACAACCAAGCCTGGCACATGGGAGCAGCACAGGGCCAGTGCCTCCAGTCCAACATGACCCATGGGCTTTGTTCTAGGAGCTGGGAAGGGCTCAGCTCACACAGCGAGTCTCTGGCTGCCCCGACCCCATTCCTGATGTCCAGGGCCCTCTCTGGTTAGCGGGTGCTCGGCGGGAAGGTCTGATTGTCCCACTGTGTCTGGGGGGGCTGCCCTTGTGCCAGGGCCTGTGGGGCACTGCCCCCTGCATTTTCAGCCCCACCCAAATCCACTGCCCCAGACTCAGGCTTCCCCTTGCTAGAGGTCTCCTGGCTGTGCTGCAATGCGTCAGGGCTCCGTGGAGGGATGCCGGCACTCGGCTGGGTGCCCTGAGCAGCTCCACGCTGAGGCTCAGAGCTGTCCGCAGCTCCCCCCTGGGCCTTCCTCTGGGTGCTGTCCCATGCAGCCCCTTCCCTGCCCCCCAGCTGGCCTGCGGCGGCTCCAGGCCCCTCGCTCTGTGTCCCGGGGGCTGTAGGCGCTCCTCGGCCAGCATCCTGTCCAGACCTCTGGGGCAGGGGTGGGGGCTGCTTCCCCCAGTTTGCTGTGGCCCAGGGTAGCTTGGCAGGATGCGTTTTGCGCAGCATCTCCTGCCTGAACTCATGGTTGGTCTCAGTCTTGTACTTCTGCCCCCCGAAGCCGGGCACAGACCCCTTCCTGCCCTTCAGCACCCGGGGGTCAGTCCCAATGTCAGCAGTGATGTTTGTGTACAGGGGATGCAGCTCCTTGGCCAGCAGCGTGTAGGTGAGCGAGTTCATGCCGTCCTGTGTCCACATCCTCTGTGTCCGGATCAGCAGGTCAAACCTGCAGGGTGGGGAGGAGAGTCAGTGCCAGGGCTCTGCCCAGCCCAGCCCCTGCCCTCTGGGAGCCTCCCCACCGGCCCAGCCAGCGTGAACTCCCCGCCTTGCCAAGGAGCGGTGCAGGGCGGGGCCCGAGCACACTCACCGGTGCGGGTTCTCCTCATTGCCTTGGTCGCCTTTGTGCTTCACCATCTTGTAGTGGCCGACTGATATGGGAGGGCGCGAGATCTTCATGCCAGCCAGACGCACCCTGGAGACACAGGAACAGATGTCAGTGCGGCGCCCAGCGCAGGGGCTGCAGGATCCGCCCCCACTCGCTGCCACGGCATGTGACGGGGAGAGTTGCCATGGCGATGGTGCAGCAGGCTGCAGGGCTCTGGGTTAGACTCCCCGGCCAGCAGAGGGAGCTGTGTTCCAGCGGGTGCAGCACTGGCCAGAAGTCACCCGATTCCTGCCGTGGGGCGAGCAGGTTCTCTCCCATTGGCACCCAGGAGCCAGCTGCACCAGTGCAGGCAGCAGGCCATGGAACAGCAGGGCCAGGTCAGCCTCAGCAGAGCAGTCCCCAGGGATCATGGCGATGGGCAGGGGGCTCAGGGCAGTCACTTCGTCCTCACCCCACCAGCTCTGCTACAGCTACCGACCCGCCTCCTTCCCGCTGCGCTGGACCTACCTGAGCATGGCTGGCAATGGCACTGGGAGAAATGAGCATGCAAAGAGTCCCGAGAGCCAGGAGTGGAGAGAAGAGAGAGATGGTGAGAGGAGCCAAGACCACGGGGAGGGGGGCACGCCAGGGCCAATGAGACATGACCACAGTGCGGGGCGGGGTGGTGACGGGATGACCAGAGCCAAGGAGAGACAGCCACAGAACATGGTGGGGAGGGGGAGGGGGGCGGCACACCAGGGCCAATGAGAGACAGTCACAGACCATGGGGGAGGAGGGGGGCACCAGGGCAATGAGACACAGCCATGGACCACAGCGGGCTGACAATGAGACTCAGAGCGCAGGAAGCGGGGGCAGGGCCAGAGGAGCACTACACATTCAGCCTCTGCGGGAGCCCAGAGGGACCCGCTGCCCGAGCGCTGTCACCAGGCTCAGCCAGAGACTGGGGGGAGACAGCTAGAACAGAGCGCTCGCCTAGGTCCCCGAGCGAGCTCCTCCCCAGCCCGGCCTGCCGGCCCACGAACACCTTGCAGCCTGCTCTCCCAGCCCTGGCAGTACACAGGCCCTGCCTGACAGCTGTGCCCAGCACGCTGCCCAGGGCCAAGGGGGGGGGATGGCAGCAGAGACGCCTCTCACTCTGGGGAGCAGATCCTCAGGGAGACAGCGACTGGGGGCTGCACCCCAAGGCCAGGGGAGCAAGAGGCAGGATGGGCCGAGCAGAGGTCCACCTTGGCATGCCCCACTGAGCCAATGGAGAGGGGCGCAATCACACTCCTCCCTCCTGCACAGAGGACCCATGTGACTGATCCCAAAGGACAGTGTGTGTCACCAGAACCAGGCCGCTGACGCCAGGCAGGCAGTGCCTGATGCCTGTCCCCTGGCCAGTTACTCACCCCACAGCTTGTTAGTGCCCCCCAGAGACAGGAGCTGCACTAGCAGGGGGTGTGGGCCAAGTCCTGCTCCCTCTGACCCTATGGCTTGGCACAGAGCAGCCAGGATTCCCTGGCCCCCAATGCTCCTTCTCTTGGCTGGCCACACGGGGACCCTGCCGACATGCATGCACTGGGCCTGTGTCTGGATAGGGGAGGAAGAGCAGCGGGGTGGGGACGGATCTGCTAGTTACACACCCAGCACAGCGGGAGGGGGTGAGAAGCAGGGTGCAGGCGCTGGAGGTGACTCTCACCTGGTGGCAATGTCGTCGTCCTCCCCACCCCAGCCCCAGTACTCATTGGGGAAGCCGTTCATTTTCAGATACTGATTTGGGGTGAGCGCCGACACGCCGCCAAAGTACTGGGCATACGGGAGGCTGGAGAAGAGAAGAGGAGAGTGACTGATGGCTTGAGGAGGGATCCTGGCTCAGAGGCTACCTGCAGCAGTCAGGCCCCGGGTGCTGTGATTCCCTTGGGAAACCATCTCAGAGCTCAGTCCCTGCTGGCTGGCTGGGGCTTGGATACCGGGCAGTGAGGGCGTGTAGCTGCAATGATAAACCATGGTGCCAACTGGCACAGCTGGTATTAACTGACAGATGCAACCAGGTGTGGACCAGCAGGGGGCCGTGGGGGCAGGACTCAGGGGCCCAGCCAGGGTAGCCCAGGAGTGGAACAGCAGGGGGCCGCGGGGGCAGGACTCAGAGGCCCAGCCAGGGCAGCCCAGGAGTGGACCAGCAGGGGGCCGTGGGGGCAGGACTCAGGGGCCCAGCCAGGGCAGCCCAGGAGTGGACCAGCAGGGGGCCGTGGGGGCAGGACTCAGGGGCCGCAGGGGCAGGACTATTACGGAGAAGAATTTGGAAGAGCCCTCTGAGGGAAGGGATCAGAAGGAGACCCCAACGGCCAGAAGGCATGGGCTGCATTGTCCTAGGGATGGGGGTTCCATGACCACCACTCCAAGAGGAGGAGATGGGTGGTGATGGTTGGGGACTCCCTCCTAAGGGGGATGGAGTCATCCATCTGCTGACCAGACCGGGAGCCTTGAGAAGTGTGCTGCTTGCCTGGAGCTAGAATCCAGGATGTGCCGGAGTGTTTGCCGAGACTGATCAAGATCTTGGACCGCTACCCCTTCCTACTTCTCCACGTGGGCACCAATGATACTGCCAAGAATGACCTTCAGTGGGTCACTGCAGACTACATGGCTCTGGGAAGAAGGATAAAGGAGTTTGAGGCGCAAGTCGTGTTCTCGTCCATCCTCCCTATCAAAGAAAAAGGCCCAGGTAGGGACCGTCGTATTGTGGAGGTGAATGCGTGGTTACGCAGGTGGTGTCGGAGAGAGTGCTTTGGATTCTTTGACCATGGGATGTTGTTCTGGGAAGAAGGATTGCTAGGAAGAGATGGGATCCACCTAACGAAGAGAGGGAAGAGCATCTTCGCAATCAGATTTGCTAACCTAGTGAGGAGGGCTTTAAACTATGTTTGCCAGGGGTTGGTGACCTAAGCCCAGAGGTAAGTGGAGGAGTTGGATACCAGGAGGAAACACAAGGAGGAGGGTACAAGACAGGAAGCCTCCTGATTCATACTGAGAAAGAAGGGCAATTGACTAGTTATCTTAGGTGCATGTACACGAACGCAAAAAGCCTGGGAAACAAGCAGGAAGAATTGGAAGTCCTGGCACAATCAAGGAACTATGATGTGATTGGAGTAACAGAAACTTGGTGGGGCAGTTCACATGACTGGAGCACTGTCATGGATGTGTATTAACTGTTCAGGAAGGACAGTATGGGAGGAAATGTGGAGGAGTTGCACTGTATGTAAGAGAACGGTATGATTGCTCAGAGCTCCAGTATGAAACTGGAGAAAAGCCTGTTGAGAGTCTTTGGGTTAAGTTTAGAGGTGAGAGGCTGATGTCCGGATCAGAAGGATGAGGTAGACAAGGCTTTCTTCGGACAACTAACTGAAGTTTCCAGATCACAGGCCCTGGTTCTAATGGGGACTTCAGTCACCCTGACATCTCCTGGGAGAGCAATACGGCTGTGCACAGACCATCCAGGAAGTTTTTGGAGAGTGTTGGGGACAATTTCCTGGTACAAGTGCTGGAGGAACCAATTAGGGGACGTGCTCCTCTCAACCTGCTGCTTACAAACAGGGAAGAATTGGTAGGGGAAGTAGAAATAGGTGGCAACCTGGGCAACAGTGACCATGAGATGGTTCAGAATCCTGACAAAAGGAAGAAAGGAGAGTAGCAAAATACAGACCCTGGACTTCAGAAAAGCAGACTTAAAACTCCCTTAGGGAACTGATGGGCAGGATCCCCAGGAAGGTTAATCTGAGGGGGAAAGGAGTCCAGGAGAGCTGGCTGTATTTTAAAGAAGACTTATTGAGGGCACAGGAACAAACCATCTCGATGTGCAGAAAAAAAATTCGCAAATATAGCAGGCGACCAACTTGGCTCAACAGTAAACTCTTTGGTGAGCTTAAACTCAAAAAGGAAGCTTACAAGAAGTGGAAATTTGGACAGATGACTAGGAAGGAGTATAAAAATATTGCTAGAGCATGCAGGGGTATAATCAGGAAGGCAAAGCACAATTGCAGCTAACAAGGGATGTGAAGGGTAACAAGAAGGGTTTCTACAGGTATGTTAGCAACAAGAAGGTCAGGGGAAGTCTGGGACCTTTACTGAATGGGGGAGGCAACATAGTGACAGATGATGTGGAAAAAGCTGAAGTACTGAATGCTTTTTTTTTGCCTTGGGCTTCACAGAAAAGGTCAGCTCCCAGACTGCTGCACTGGCAACACAGTATGGGGAGGCAGTGAGCAGCCCTCAGTGGTGAAAGAACAGGTTAAGGACTATTTAGAAAAGCTGGACATGCACAAGTCCACAGGGCCGGATCTAATGCATCCGAGGGTGCTAAGGGAGTTGGCTGATGTCATTGCAGAGACATTGGCCATTATATTTGAAAATTCGTGGCAATCGGGGGAGATCACGGATGATTGGAAAAAGGCAAATATAGTGCCCATCTTTAAAAAGGGAAGAAAGAGAACCCGGGGAACTACAGCCTCACTTCAGTCCCCGGCAAAATCATGGAGCAGGTCCTCAAGGAATCCATTTTGAAGTATTTGGAGGAGAGGAAGGTGATCAGGAACAGTCAACATGGATTCACCAAGGGCAAGTCGTGCCTGACCAACCTAATTGTCTTCTATGATGAGATAACTCTGTGGATATGGGGAAAGTGGTGGACGTGATATATCTTGACTTTAGCAAAGCTTTTGATACGGTCTCGCACAGTATTCTTGCCAGCAAGTTAAAGAAGTATGGATTGAATGGACTATAAGGTGGATAGAAAGCTGGCTAGATTGTCGGGTTCAATGGGTAGTGATCAACCGCTCGATGTCTAGTTGGCAGCTGGTTTCAAGCGGAGTGCCCCGGGGTCAGTCCTGGGGCCGGTTTTGTTCAACTTCTTTATTAATGATCTGGAGGATGGGATGAATTGCACCCTCAACAAGTTTGCGGATGACACTAAGCTGGGGGGGGGAGAGGTAGATATGCTGGAGGGTAGGGATAGGATCCAGAGTGACTTAGACAAATTGGAGGATTGGGCCAAAAGGAATCTGATGAGGTTCAACAAGGACAAGTGCAGAGACCTGCACTTAGGACAGAAGAATCCCTTGCATTGCTACAGGCTGGGGACTGAATGGCTATGCAGCAGTTCTGCAGAAAAGGACCTGGGGATTACAGCAGACAAGAAGCTGGATATGAGTCGGCAGTGTGGCCTTGTTGCCAAGAAGGCCAACAGCATATTGGGCTGTATTAGTAGGAGCATTGCCAGCAGATCAAAGGAAGTGATTATTCCCCTCTATTCGGTACTGGTGAGGCCACACCTGGAGTACTGTGTCCAGTTTTGGTCCCCCCACTACAGAAAGGATGTGGACAAATTGGAGAGAGTCCAGCGGAGGGCAATGAAAATAATTAGGGGGCTGGGACACGTGACTTATGAGGACAGGCTGAGGGAACTGGGGTTATTTAATCTGCAGAAGAGAAGAGTGAGGAGGGATTTGACAGCAGCCTTCAACTACCTGAAGGGGGGTTCCAAAGAGGATGGAACTCAGCTGTTCTCGGTGGTGGCAGATGACAGAACAAGAAACAATGGTCTCAAGTTGCAGTGGGGGAGGTCTAGGTTGGATATTAGGAAACACTATTCCTCTAGGAAAGTGGTGAAGCACTGGAATGGGTTACCTAGGGAGGTGGTGGAATCTCCATCCTTAGAGGTTTTTAAGGCCCGGCTTGACAAAGCCCTGGCTGAGATGATTTAGTTGGGGTTGGTCCTGCCTTGAGCAGGGGATTGGACTAGATGTCCTCCTGAGATCTCTTCCAACCCTGATATTCTATGATTCTATGACTCAGGAGCAGGGCAAGGGGACCCAGGAATGGAACAGCAGGGGCAGGACTGAGGACCGCCTGCCCCATGCTGAGCCGTGACCGCTGTTTTCAGTCAGATTCACACAGATTCTGTTCCATGGCGCCCAGTGACGAGCAGACAAATGCGGTGACAGGAGGCCATGTGGGAGAATGGCATGTGGCATCTCACCTGTAGCCGAACTTGTTCATGGCGATGGAGACGTGCTTGGGGCTCCAGGGGTCGCAGGTGTACAGGTTGTGGTCGTTCTCAGGGATGAGGTCGACATCGTGCAGGAAGAGGCAGTCCCACTCCTCGTCCCTCAGAGCCTCCTTCACTCCCACGTTCAGCAGCTTGGCCCGGTTGAAGGTGGAGTTTCCAGCCTGCAACGGGGCAGCGCAAGGAGCTCAGACAGGCCAGGACAGACAGGAGCCCAGTCAGGTCATTGAAGCCCCAACTCCACCCTGGGCCAGTGGGGATCCCCAGTACAGCGCCCCCTGCCTGGCGGCGGCAAGCGCAGACCCACCTGGTGGATGACATAGATGCCGTAGTGCAGCTGCTGGCGCTGCAGGAAGGGGTGCAGGTAGTAAAGCAGGTGGCGCAGGTGTGTCTCCCGGTTGCGGTGAGGGATGATCACGGCCGTACGGGAGCGGGGCTCGCAGGTCACAGGCCGGTATCTGCCCCCTTCCCTCACCGCCGGGTTCTTCTCCACGATCTGCTTCAGCGTCAGCACCTGACTGAAGCTCACTGTCAGGGGGCCAACTGCAGGGGAAAGAGCACTGCTGGCATCAGGAGCAGAGACACACCCACAGCCCATCACACTGGCCATGGGCCCACAGCCCCAGAGCCCACCCAGCTGAGGCCACCACACCCCAGCCCCAGTGCCCAGCCACCCCCAGCGCCTGGCCACACACCCAGCAAGGCAGCAGCACCAGCATCCCCATCCATACACACTACACGGCCCCTCTGTGCTGGTGTCCCTGTCTCGTCCCCAGCCAGCCTTGGCCACTCGGACCCCTCAGCTCTCACAGCTGCTGCCCCGAACATTTCCTCCCCACTCGGCCATTGCTAAGGCAGCCCGCACATGCTCTCAGGCACAGGCGTGGAGAGTCGCCCAGCCAGCTGCCCAAGCCGACCCCGTCAGTCCGGCTCAGGCAGACGGGTGAAGCCCGAGGGAGCCTGGCACCACATGGGGGCGGAACAAGGCGCTGGAGAGTGAGTGGCTGCCGTGAGCCCAGCTGTCCTTTAGGGTCATCCTTCACTGGACAGCCAGCCATAGGCCTGAACAGCCAGCTCTGCCCCTCCAGGGCCGGCCTGCACTCTGGCCAGGGCATCCGAGGTGCAGCTAAGCTCCATGATGGCTCCCTCCAACTGCAGCTGTGCAGGGACAGGAGTCCGCGATTTCTCCAGCCCTCTCCTCTCTGTGCCCTGAGTCAGCGCTGCACGGGGGTCGTTCACACCAAGGGGAGCCCGGTCTGGGTCGTTCGGAGCCGCAGGCGGGGCTGAGAGCAGGGGACTGCAGAGGATTCAGAGTCCCTCCCACTCCCACGGACCCAAAGCTCCATGCAGCCACCTCTGGGGAGGAGACCAGTGTCGGGGCAGGGCAGGGCAGCACAGCACACAAAGGGGAACTGCGCTAACCCAAGGACCCCAGCACAACCGTGTGGCGCCATGCAGGACAGACAGGCCTGCAGTTACAGCTCGTTCAGGAGACAAGTGCTCACCACGCTGGGCTCTATCGGCCCTCACAAGGAGGACGGGCATAGCTGTCCCTGCTGGGCAGGGCAATGGAGGGGTCTCAAGGCTGGAGCTCCCACCCCGTCCGGAGCCCATCTTTAGGCACAGCCTCCCCATGGCCTGGCAGCTCTTAGCTCAGTTCCGCGGCTGAACTCACATCACCCAGGAGGCCCCGCTCCTGCCCCAACAAGGTATCGTCAGGTGAGACAGACAGCAGGACAAGCAGCCTGGGCCTCCATCTGCTCCCTGAAGAGGAGCCGGCTCCCCGCTGGCAGCGTTGCTTGGTTCTCAGAGCAGGGGGTAGGACTGGAACGCAGGCCTGGGCCTCTCCCACTAGGTGCCCTGTCCCCTGGATGGGTTTGATGCACTGCATCCCTGAACAGATCCCCGCTGACATGCACCCCTTGCCCGAGCCTGCTTCCCCATTCAGGGTCTGTCCCAGGGTTGCTGTTATGGGTGCTTAGGCATGTCTAGAAGGTGAGTACACGCCAGCTGCACAGCCGGACATCCCATTTCAGAGCAATGCAGGGCCTCCCGGCAGCACAGCAGTCTCATTAGCCCAGCACCGCTGCTGCTCCCGCAGCGAGCTCGGCAGGGCATTGCGTGGCGTTGGAACTGGGCTCACAGCAAGTGCAGGCTACACGGCAGCTGCCCCCCAGGGCCACCAGCCCCTTGTCTCCCTCAGCGCTGCTGGCAGTGGGAGCTGGAATCCCACTGGAGCAGAGGAGTGTTCTAGTCTTTTCACCACTCGGAGGTGTAGGCAGTGGGCTGGTCTGAGCTCTCTTGGGCACTAGCCTGAAGGTGCCCCCCCGGGTTTAAGCCCAGGGGGAGCATCTGAGGCGGGAATGGCTCCGCATCTGACGCAGCAAGCTCCAGAGACTTCTTGCTCCTCCAAACACAGGCCGTGTCCTGGCAGGTCATGGATCCCAGCCTGTAGCGAGTCCCACACTGCCTGCGAGCTGAATACTGGGTGTGCAGAAATGGGCAAGCTGATCGACCTACCCAGGATGCAATGGGTACAGAATCGCTACCCATCAATGGCCAAGTTCTGCTCCATCCCTAGGTTTTTAGAGCACCCACATCACCATTCGGAGGGGGCAAGGCTGCCTGGGTTATCCCCACTGAGCAACATCACAGCCACACACGAGCTTTTACAACAGAAAATTGTAGTCGAATAAAAGTTAAGGCAAAACAATCTCAAGTGAGCTGGTGCGTGCCACCAGGCTCAGGCTGGCCCGTGCTTCCTTCCCCTGGGACTGGCGCAAGGTTCCCTCCCTGACCTACCTCTGATGGGAGACAGTCAAGGACTCCAAAGCTCTCTCCAAGTGCTCTGAGACACCCGGAGACAGGAGCCGATTGCCCCTGCAGCTCTGTGGTGCATGGGGGTCACACTGTTGGGGGCGCCAGAGGCAAACCTGAACCACATGAGCAAGAGGGCATCTCTGCTACCCTTCCCAGACCCTCGGCCCACAGCAAGACGGAGCTCTGAGACATGGCAGAAGCAGTCCCCTGGAGGGCAGGCGCTTTGTCTAACAAGTAACCAATAAGCCTTCTGGAGACATGACACAGGCCATTCCCCCTGCCCGGCCCTGTCCTGCCCTCCAAGGGTCTCCCCACCTCCCCCCGCCTTGCCTCTGGGGTGCTCGCTCCCCACCATAGCTTGGCCTGCACCCACCGATGGGGGAGGGGAAATACCCTGCTCGTTATTATTCCTGTTGGAAAACAGCAGACTTGACTGAAAGCCAGTTTGACTCGTGTATGACAAATGATGCTACAGAAAGGCTGAGTGAACCCCACTCCACCAGCTCTCAAGGCTCCCTGTCTGCACCCCACCGCCTCCCCTGCAGGGCTTCCCACTGGTGCCCCACCCATCTCCCACAGGACTCCTTGCCTGTGGCCCCCTGATCCTCTACCACCCTACAGGTCTCCCACTCTGGCCCCACGCCCAGTGCACAACTTACTGAGGTAGGGCGAGCGCTCGGGGCAGTAGGGCAGGGACCCCGTGGGGCTGCCGCCTGGAGGCGGCCGGGGCAGGAGGTGACTCAGGTTGGTGTACACATCCCGGGTGCGGGAGTAGTCGAAGACGGGGTTCGAGTCACGCCCGAAGATGGAGGTCAGGTTCCGGAAACCGCCGAAGGAGAAGTACACCATGAAGGCAAACTGGAAGCCAATGAGCAGGGCCAAGGTGCAGGGCCTGTCCAGGAGTCTCCGGATCATGATGCCTGGAGAGAGCTCTCCTCCCCCACAAGCAGTGCCAGGTGGTGTGTGTAGCTGGTGCTGTCGAGACACAGACATCCACACGTTAATTGAGTGAGGTGCCCCTTTCAGCTGCCCTGGGCAGCAGCATGCAGCCCCCCAACTCCTCCTGGGAAGAGCACAGCCAGCCTCATCCCCCACACAGGGTGCTAGTCTCTACTGGAGACACTCCCTTCAGTGCCGGGGCCTCACCTCCTCCACCCAGCTGAGCTGGCCGGCCGCAGGGAACAGGCTGGCAAAGAATGATAAGGACTCTGGTTTAGCTGGAGAAATCAGCTTGTGACGTGAACATGCCCAAGTCCTCCCACTCCCGTGCAATGGGTGAGAAGTACAACCTGCTCCCTTCCCAGCCCAGGAGCAAGCTGGTAAATGCCATTAAGTGAAGAATTACAGGTCCTGGTGGAGAGTCGATCTCCCGCCAAAGCGCTCTGCGAACTCTTGCTGGCATTGGGATAGCACCTTTCAGCCTGAAGGATACCCAAAATCTGCTCCTCACCCCCACTCCCAAGGAGATGCAGCCACCTCTAGGGTTAAGAGCAGCAGAAGTTTAGAGGAGGGAGTGAAGCATCCCGTGTCCACTCAGAGCTGCAGGGAGAGTGGAGGGAAGTTCAACAGAAATGCCTGCATCTGGGTCTGGCCAGGGACAGACTAGTGAGAAGTGCCGCCGGATTAGCAAAGGCCCTTGGGAACTCTGCAGCTGTGTCCTCTAGCACCAGGCTGGGGCACAGAATCAGTCACTCCCACCTCAGTGGAGCAGCGTCACGGCTTGCAAGGAACAGCTCTGCGTTGGCAGGAGACAGACTGGCTGATCCATCCCTGTCCTCATGGGAACTGCACCCCCTTCATTCACCTCCCCTGTCTGCACCATGGCATCTTCCTTCTCCAGGTCTGCACTAATACCTACTGCCCTGCAGCATGGCACAGCTGACACTGCCTTGGCTCCACCTCTGCTCACATCCTCCAGGCCTTTCTCCGCCCTGTGACTCTGCGCTGGGACCATGTCCTGGCTCCAACTCCTGCCTGCTTTGCCAGTATTTAGAGGGAACAGCCCCATCTCCCCAGACTCACACACTTCCACCTGTTCCTTATTCTACTCAGAACCCCCTCCAGTCATCTTCCTTGTCAGCACCCCAAGGGGCTGGGATCAGCCAGCCCCACTACCCTCCCCGCCCGGCTCTGCTCATCTAGTGCCACTCATCTGCCCCGTCAATGTCTCAGGGCTCTGGGCACAAGAGCCTTCTCTGGGACGCCTCCTGTCTACCCCACCCCAGCTCTAAGCAGAGCATTCACACCCACACCCAAGTCTGGCCTTCTCCACTGCAGCCCGAAGTGGCCCCTGCTGAGCCCCTGGAGGAGCCGCAGATTCCAAGGCCAGAAGGGATTAGTGCCATCATAGAATCACAGACATGTCGGGCTGGAAGGGACCTTGAGAGGGCATCTAGTCCAGCCCCCTGCGCCGAGGCAGGAGCAAGTAACCTTAGATCATCCCTCACAGGGGTTTGTCCAACCTGTTCTTAAAAACCTGCAGGATACTGCAACCTCCCTTGGAAGTCGCTTCCAGAGCTGAACTCCCCTGAGAGTTAAAGTTTTTCCTAACATCTAACCGAAATCTCCCTTGCTGCAGATTAAGCCCATTACGTCTTGTCCTGCCTTCAGTGGCCAATGGTCAAATTACCCTCACTTAAAATTTCAGGCCTTATTACCAGTCTGAATTTGTCTAGCTTCAACTTCCAGCCATTGGAGCATGTTAGACCTTTCTCTGCTAGACCGAAGAGCCCATTACCAAATGTTTGTTCCCCATGTAGGTACTTACAGACTGTGATCAACTCACCCCTTAACCTTCTCTTTGTTAAGCTAACTAGATTGAGCACCTTGAGTAGACCACTAAGAGGCATGTTTTCTAATCCTTTAATTATTCTCTTGGCTCTTTTCTGACCGCTATCATTTATCAACGTTCTGGACACAAAACTGGATGCAGTATTTCACAAGAGGTCGCACCTGTGCCAAATACAGAGGTAAAATAACCTCTCTCTTGCTACCCTATATTCCTGTTTATATGGCCAATACATGGAAGACATTAGCCACTTTGGCTACAGCACTGCACAGGGAACTCACGTTCAGCTGATTATCTACCACAACCCCCAAATCTTTTTCAGCATCAGTGCTTCTCAGGATGGAGTCCCACACCCTGTAAGGACGACCTAGGAGGGGGCTGGGTGCAAAATGAAGAGAAGGGAGTTTCCATTTAGGAGTTCCGCTGGCCTTGCCTTTGCCCTCACCCCGTCACATCACCGGTCTGCTCCCCCTAAGGAGATCTTCTGTCTCTGCATCGAGCTGGAAACGTGCCGGCGTGACGTCGGATCCTGAGTTGAGGTGCTGCAGGAGACAGCACACAGCGGGTCAGGCCCATTGGCATGTTGGGGGCAAGGGGAAGGAGAGGTGGGAACCCAGGAGATTGCAGGGAAGAAGAGGGCTCAGCTCTTAGTGGGAGCATTGCTCCTCCCTCCCCCTATGATTTCTACATCTCTCCCTCCAGAGCAGGCCCCCGCCGCGGAAGCTATCACCACAGCCAGCGGGAAGCTGCCTGGGCCGACATGGGCTCTCCTCACAAACTGCTGCTTTCAATTCAAATCAGATTGTGTTTCTAGCACTTCTGGCTAGAAAGAGAAGCTCACGAGGCTGCCATCTCCCAGCAAGAGCAAAGGGAGCTGCTACTGTCCCCCTCTATGGAGTTGTGAATTTTGAGGCCTTATCAGATCAACTGAGGGTCGATGCTGTTTTCGCACCAATCTCCATCCCAGAAAGATCCAGCGGGCATGCTTCTCCCATGCAGCTAGGTGCGTATTTCCTACTGCAGCCACAGCAGTTTGCCCCCACTTAAAGAGCAGACAAACACTTTGTCCTTAATCTAAAACAAGTCCTTTTTCCAAAGTGTCTCTGGCAATGCTCAGCATATCTCCCCTCTGCATGGAGCTGAACACAAAGGCTACCGTCTCTGCAGACAGAAACGCCTGAGGTTTAAATTATAGTACCCAGAAAGCAAACACGCCACAGGGCATCGAGGGGGGAGGTGTGGGATAATTGAGGGATTTGCTACTGTTTTCAGAGTGCAGGGTAAAAATATTTATAGACTCAGTCAAAAAATGCTGCTGTGTGCATGCAATGCAGTTTACAGAATTTGAGAGCTCTCAATAAAACGTGGCCCAGCAGCAGCAACCGTGGGTTCAGTCTCACTGCTAATCAATATGTCTGAACGATGAACATTCTTGCAGATTCAAATTTAGCCCAACTAAGCAGGAAAAACACAAAAACCAACAGCTCTCCCGCAGATGTGCCAGACCCCGGAGAAGACTCCTTGCATGATTCCACTGTGCCCTGGTCAGTAGGATCCTGGGATTCAAATAGCTGCTGGGTCAACTGGGGACCCTGCTGCTGGAACATCAGAGCCCTGCAGAGTTCTCCCACTAGGAACATGGAGGAACCTAGGCAACCCCCAGCCATTAAGGAGTCAGATGTGGTATAATTTCACCTTCAAAGCATTAATCATTCTCCGCGGCCCCCTGCACGATAGCTAAGTTTTATCCCCATTTCACAGACAGGGAAACTAAGGCACAGAGTGGGGAAGAAACTTGACTGGAGTCACCCAGCGAGTCAGTGGGAGAGCCGGGATTCTCTCTCCTAAAGGATATTAATGGTCAATAGCTGCCCGAGGCCCCAGTCAGAATCAGGAACTGAACAGCCATGTACGGAGACCGGGCCTCGTGCTCCGGCTGCGGCCCAACCCTCACTAGGCACAAATGAATGAGACCTGCTGCAATCGATTCTCTCACCACAGATAAGCAGAGAGCAGCGTTTCATTGTTGGGGCCAGGGTAACAAGGCAGACATGGTGCAAACCTGTCCAGGTTCGAGGGCATGGCACACAGCAGGCTTTACAGAGTCCATGGCAAAAGGCTGCAGGTGCTGGAAAGTGAAGCCATCGAAATCTATTCCATTAATGCTTCATGCAGTCCCCGCACCAGCCCTGCCTAATCAATGCTGCTAACATCCTCCCCATCTTCTCTGCTGCACACTCCCAGCCACCCTCACCCACAGCCCATCACAAGGCACAGGATCTGAGGGTGACTGGACAGCTCCATCCACGGACACACCCTAGAGCCATTACCTGTGTGCAAATACAACGCGCCTTCAGTACCCATGGTTCCGGCTGAGGATTTCAAAGATGCCCCAAGAAGTCTGAAGCCCAGCCCCAAGGAAAGCCAGTGTTTGCCAGGGGCACTTTAGAAATAAAAGCCATGTCACAAATGAACACGAGATGAAATTCCATGCATGCCACCCTCGCCCTTCCTTGGAGTCTGTTCTAGGGACAGGAGAGGGGGCAGTGCTCCCAGTCCTCTCTGATAGGCATTAGGCCCTCCAGCCCCTTAAAGCAATCACAGCCCTTTTCTTTTCCTGGTCCATCCCTCTTCCTGTTACTGGGGAGTGGGAACATTAATGTTATGAAGAGAGCAGAACTGGAGTTCCTTCTCTAAGGGCTCAGGTGACACCTGGCACAGCGATAAGACTGGCTGCTCTGGCAGCATTCCATGTGCTCAGGAGAGTCCATTAGCCAGCAGGCAAAAATGCACCCCGTGCACGGAGAAATGTGTTCGGCCAAATCTGGTCTCACAGGTAATTGCATGAGCTGCCGTATCAGAACGGACCTTGACACCATCGCATTTGGCATCTTGCCTCCAGTGGAAAGCAGCCCAAGGGACCAATCCTGCAGGGGGATTCCTTCCGCGCTCCCATGGCAAAGAGCGGGTGTCCTGAAGAGATCAGTCATTCCCATCTCTGCAGGTGCCACTACAGACAGGAGAGCACTTCACAGAGAACCAGGCTCCTCCTAGCTCCAGCTGCTTCTGCGTCCGCCTCAGATCCAGCAGCAGGGAGTTCCGCAGGGCACCCACGCGCCAGCAAATGAGCATTGGCTTTATACGTCCTGGCCTGAGGCGCTGCCGCGGCTGGGCAACTTGCACTGGACCCCGCAGCACCCAACCTCTGAGACCGCCACCGGGCCTTAGGGAGGCCCCTCCCCCGCCCCAACCAGCCCCACTCCGGGCCCGGTCTGGCCGGACACGCCAAGCGCGCCAGCCCCGACAAGGCGCGCCAGGGCCGGGAGCTCAGTCAGCGCGCAGCCCTGCCAGACGCTCCCCACCCCTCCGCCCCCGCGGCCCGCAACGCACCTGCGCCCCACTCCCGGCGCGCTGCGTCCCAGGGCGGCGGGTCCCTCAGCACCGCCCAGCAGCCAGGGACACCGCCGCCGCCGCCATCTTGGGAAAGGTGCGCTGGGGCGGGGGGGAGGAGGGGGGGTCAGTGGTGACGTAACGGCAGGGCGTGGCCTCGAAGTTCCACCCCTTAAAGGGCCCCTCCCCGGGTAACCGCCAGGATAGGGCGTGGAGCGCGAGACGGGACCTGCGCGGCGTCATTGCCCCGCCCCGGACCTGCTTCCCCCAGAGCTGCAAATGCCCTTCCCCTAGTGCCCCACTCGCGCTCGCCCTAATGCCCTCCCCCAACCCCCCTTCGTCCTAATGCCCTCCCCCCAGAGCCCCCCTCG